TATTAGTATTCCCACTGTTGGCAGGACAGTGGGGGAGGCAGACAAAAGAGTGCCTCCTCTCTCCTGAAGGAATTTATCTTCGAGAAATGTATATGCATCCAAAGACATCCACACAGAGCATTCACTGTGGCACTGCTCACAAGAGCAAACACCTGAAGCAGCCCAACAATATAGGACAGGTAAGGGAACATGACAAGGGTAGCCAGTGCCACTTGAAGTCTGCGGCCTTTATCAAGGGGCTTTGCGGACAGGGAAGGTACCCGGGATATGCTGCTTAGTGAAATCTGTTCCAGAACACTGTGAATGCTGTGAGGCCACTTATGTTACGTACTGCAACATCATGCTGAAAAGAATTTTGGGAAAAATTTCTCCCAGCAGCACAGGGACACACCACAGTTGAAGGGCCACTGTTCTAGTGTAAGGGTGGCAAATACTTCCTAATGTGTCCTTTACAGAAGAAGTGTAGGTTTCATCTGGGCGTGCTGGTGCATTCCTGTAATCCCAGCAGTCCAGGAGGCTGAGGCAAGAGGACTGCAAGGCTGAGCCTACCCTGAGCAATTTAGCAAGACGCTTTCTCAAATACAGAATAAAAAGGGCTGGGGCTGTAGCTAAGTGTGATGGCCCTGGGTTCCATCTTCAGTAACACACACGCACACACACACACACACACACACACACACACACACACACACGCGCAGAGCTTGGAACTCTAGCCTAATCCAATCAGCAGCTTGTGTGTCAGGGCTTGGTTTAGGTGTTGCCTCCTCCAGGCCGCCCTCCGGTCCATTCCCAGGTTTTGTTCCCTCCTTTCTGTTCCCTGTCCCACGTCAGAGCCTTGGGCAGAGGAGACACTCAGCAAACTGAACAGGGGTCACACTGAAGTCCTTGGGCTCTGCCCCAGGAACCCTGACCCTGTGTGGCCTTGATGTCTGGGAGGGCCTGCCCTTTCTTCCCAGGGAAGGCCAGGGACTCACAAATGCCATGGTGTACTGGTTGAGCATGTAGTCCCCGGTGACCGCGTGCTGAAAGGCTTCCACGGCAAAGTCTGGGGGTGGGAAGTTTGGGAAGCCCTGGCCCAAGTTGACAGCGTCTTTGTATTCATTGGCCAGCTTGATATACTCCACCCTGGGGAGAAGCAGGGTGTCAGGATCAGCCCATCCCTTCACCTGGCCTGGACTTCCACCTGGTCCCGGGCAGTGAGCAGGCACAAGGCTCCATCTGGACAGCTGGACAACAGCATCTGCCCACAGCCCGCAGATGGGAACTTGTCCCCTGCTTTGAGACAAGGTGGGCCAGGCCCGGCGCCCTCTGATGGGTCACAGAGGGTATTTCAAGTTCTTCAGTCAAGATCCACATGATAACAAATGTTTATATCCCAAACCCTGTAGAGCATACACATTGTCCTTGGTGTGATCTAACAAGGAATTTTCTTTTCTGTTCTATTCTTTTTATTTTTGCTGGGCTGAGGATTAAACCCAGGGCACATGCTGTAGAGGCTATTCTAAATGTAGTGAGAAGTTTAGTCCTGTAGTTCTAACAGTGTTCACAGGTGAGACTGGGAAGCACAGTTGGTTCTCATAATTCCTGTAGCCAGCTGCGAGATAAGTGCAGCTTAGCCAGACAGTGGTGTTCTGCTTACTTTCAAGTCCCAGAGGGCCAGGGATATAGCTCAGTGACACAAGTGCCTGCTTGGCAAGCACAAGGTCCTGAGTTCGATTCCTGAAACCAAAAAAAAAAACAAAAAGAAAGTCCCAGAGAGTTATGGTCTCAAGAACACCTCTGCCCAGTCTCAGACAATGACTGAGTCTTCCCCCATGTTATACAACAGTAACCTTACTAGTTCCTGTAAGAGTAAATTTTGGCCAGACGTGGTGGCACACACCTATAATCCCAGCATTTGGGAGGCTGAGGCAGGAGGATCACTGTGAGTTCGAGGCCAGACTAGGCTACACAGTGAATTCAAGGCCAGCCTAGACTACATAGTGAGACCTTGTCTTAAAAAAAAGAAAAAGTAAATTCTGCCTAGCAATTAATGACAAAGACATATGTAACCAACTATAGAATGTTATGTTATGTACCTGTTTGTACTCCCTTCTAAAAAACCTATATAAGGGATTGGTAACCTCAAAACGGCGCTGGTGGTTTGAACCTCTGGGCTCCCCAGCTCACTAGCATAATAAAGCTGCCTTCCAAAGTTGCTCTGGTGCTGTTGTATTCTGTTAGATCTGGTCCTGAATTCCACAGCATAACTTGGGGGTTCGTCCAGGATACACCATGCTGATCATTTAGGTCACTGATGAAGGTCTGCTGGCCCCAGGGACTTGCCCTTTGACTGCAGATGAGACAGGGCACCCTCTGACTCTTTTCTCAGAGTCTCCTCAGCGGCAAGGAATGGGAACCCCTGTATGGCAGCAGTGACCTCATCAAACCCTAAGAGGACACAGAACACAGGCGAAGCTGGTTGGGCCTCAGATAAGGTAGGATTGCCCCTGGGAAGTCCCTCAGTTAGTCTGTCAGTTTCTGTTTATCAGTTCCATCCCCTGCAGGGATGAAGGCAGGACTTGATCAACCCTCGAAGACTGCTGGCAGCCTGTGCTAGCAGCTTGTGTTAGTCAGGACAGTCAGCTTCTGTTTTGGATTCAGCTAGGCATTGCCCCAGGGGATTGGGTACTAAAGTGTATTAACCTCTGAATGCCTACTAAATCACTGAATAGGGGCTGGGGATTTAGCTCAGCGGCACAGCGCCTGCCTGGCAAGTGTGAGTTCAACTCCTGGTACCGGAAAAAAAACAAAAACAAAGACAAACAAACATACAAAATGACTGAATGAATGTCTGTCATTCCATCTGTGCTCCATGAGGAAAACACCTGCTATCCCGGAAACTTACAACTATGGCACTTGATTGAGCCCTCACCTGCAGTTCTGGGGACCTGTCTAACTGGGCTTGCTCAGTAGGCTTAGAAAAATATAATGGGGGGGGGGATGAAAGGACACTTATCCTCAGCTTGGATGGTCCCAATGATGCCGAGAGGTAAACGGCCAGGCAGGTGCCTGTGTGTACGGTCTCTCTCCCTTAGGGGCCCCTCCATTCAAGGGCCCACCACACACTATAAAAATATATATACAAGCCCGAATAGAATGACCCCCCTCCTTAAACACATTAAAAAGGCTTTACAAAAGATTACAAGATAAAATAAAACCTGCCACCTTGGCTTCACACATGAGCCTGCCAAGAAAAAGAAACTCTCTTAAGAATAAAAGCAGACCCATAGATCTAAATCCCCTAGACAGAGGATGACCCAAAAGGCTAAAAAGATTTGTCCTGTTCTGTCTGCTGACCCTGATGGTGGCTTCTCTCCCCGTACACGAATAACAACCCAAACCAGCCAGGGCCTGCCTCTCCACCCCTGACTGCGGAGAGTCCGGTCAGTCATCACCTCCGCTCATCTCATCTGCAGATGCCACTCTGTGCCCACCGGGAGGCCCCCTTACTATTGGAAAAACGATCTGTGCTGTAATAAACAAAAATATAAAGTTGCTTAACTTTACTGCACCAGGATGTACAGACGGGGTGCCCCAGGCAAACTAATTAAAAATGCCTGAGCAACCAGCTGTGCCTGCCGAGATCAGAGAGTAAACAAAACAGGGGTCACCTTTGCATTTCAAAGAAAATGCAAAAAGAGTCGAGGCCTAAAGTCCCCATCCCACTTTAGGAGCCTCAAGGTCAACTCTTACTCAGCTTTATCACCCAGAGGTTACCTATAAAGGTCCAAAACTGAAAAACCCCAGTCTAAAGTAAATGCCCAAAATCCTGTCAAACCTAAGGAAGTTTTACAGGAGAAATCAAGTCACAAAGTTTAACTAATTGGCAAATATACTTTTGGCTTTCAGTTTGAACTGATGTGCATAAAACATTTTTTTTTAAACATTTCTTGTACAGTACAAAGTTTTGAATTTATAAGGTAAACTTGCTCTTTACCCTGTTGTTTTAAAATAAAAACATCGATTCAAAGTTACTCAGAGGTCTGTTGGCAGTCAGTCAAGTTTACTATCTGAGGAAAAAAGGGATGCTTTAAAATTCAAGTGGCTACAGTCAAGTTTGTTGTAAAAGGTTATAATAAATGGGAGAAAAAATAGTAAAAAAGTCTATAAATGGAAGTGATATACTTTTGATATGAGAGGATTCTATATGATAAAAGTCTTGCCCTGCTCAAGAGAATTTTTAAAAAGGTAATAACAAGACTAAAAAGCTCACATATATTGAGAAAAGCTTATGAAAGTGGCTTATTAAAAGAAAAAATATAGCTGGGCGTGGTGGCGCATGCCTTTAATCCTAGCACTCAGGAGGCTGAGGCAGGAGGATCATTGTGAGTTTGAGGCCAGCCTGGGCTACAGAGTGAACTGCATAATGAGACCCTGTCTCAAAAAGAC